ATAACAACAGACACCAGGTGACTGACAATCGAGGCTGAAATAAACCTTGCCAATTGCTCTTCCGTGATACAAATCGCGGATTGGCGGATGATGTTACAAGCAATAAATAGAGGAATAGCAACCAGGCCTGTAAGCAGATCGGCTACAGCCAGACTACAAAGCAGCAGATTGGTGATCGATCGCAGATATATTTTCTTTGCCATCAACAGCAAAACCAAACCGTTGACAATCACAATTAACACGGCCAGAATGATTGCAGGAACATCCACAGCGGGGTAGAAATAACCATCGTCCATTTCATCGTATTCGCCATCTGCGACAGATTTAGGAAAGTTAACTTTAATAAACTTACGCCGATAAACTATTACTTCAGACTGGTAGTACACTGAAAACTGATTCAGCTCAGAGTTGAAATGTTGAATTAATCAACTGTATCAATCAGTAAGCCACTTCTGAGTTGCCTTTTCCCTTTGTGGCAAAGCGAGTCTTGGCGCGAAACCATTCATATGTAACTGTGTTCCTCCTACATGTTCATTTTCGTGAAAATCAAACTCATTTTATATGAAACTAAGGTTTTGCACGAAGACTCGTTTTGAAACAGAGGCACGAGGTGAAACGGAAATGTACTATTCAATTAACTGAATATCCAAAGTCCGTGAATGAAATGATGCGAAGTTCAAAACATGCAATTAGCCTCCGTTTTTACAAAAGTGCGGACCTGCAATGAGTGTTTAAATAAACTACAAAACTATATCTGAGTCCAGTTGCCTCTTCGCTATTTTGCATGCCTTCTCAATAATTCCACACACGATTCTGATAGAATCAGTTCTCATAACCTCGAGGAAGTTTCTCGTTAATTTTTTTTTTCTTTTGTGGGGAGGGGGTGGAGCATTAGGGTAGGAAAAGATCAGTGGGGAAATAATTCGAAAAAAAGGGCACCATGACGATTCCATGGAGTTTCAAAATTATTGCTTTTAGTAAATATTTAACTGATGAAGGGGCGATAAAATAGACTAAGCGTTGAATGCAGAGGTGGTCTAAAAAGAAAGTCCTTTTCGCTGTCTAGGTCCTCCCATAAATTTCCGTTCTTTTGTAAAACTCAGGCTCTGTGTATCTGTAGATCGCTTTAAGCGCAGTTTACCGAATTTCAATCAAAGGTAATAGCAAGAATTGAAAGAATACGCATGAGCAAACTTAACGATTATTCAACGTAAATAAATGTAAAATCGGCTACTGTGTTATGAATAGTTATTTCGTGAAAGAAAAAAAACAATTTACAAAGAAAGAACTATTTTTCTCACCTGATAATGTAAAGCCCGTAGTTTCTACATCAGCAGAGATGTTTCCATACTGAGAGTCGTTTATAAGGGAGGACTTTTGATCCATTTCGTAATGTACAACAACCTCACAGCTTCTTGCTACGGTGATTATAAAAAAGCAAAGAAG